CCCGCTCCACCGTCACCGTCAGCTTCCCCTGGCCCTGCTGCTTTGAGCAGCACATGGTGTTGGTGGAGCTGTCCTCGGGGCAGACGCAGGAGCAGGGGTCGTGGGCGCTGCGCTGGGTCCCCGGAGGGCAGCTCTGGGTGCAATTCCTCCACAGGGCCCTCTCGGTGATGTACTCGCTCACCGCCTGCCCCAGAGCCTCCCGCTTGGGGTCGTCCTGGTCTAACAACATGTGGATGGGGTGCAGGGAGTAGGACACCAGGTCGGGGCTTTCTTTGAGGCTCTCCATCCATGACGAGAAGGCCTCTGCGTCCTGCCCCTCGGAGAAGAGCAGGTCGGCGTGGTTCTGGCCCCCCGTCACCTCGGTGTGGCGCTCGCTGTATGTCTCATGGAAGCTGTGCTTGAAGTTCTTCTTCTTCTGCTGCTCCTCGCACTGTTTGAAAGCCGCCTGGGCCTTGCCCTTCCCGCCCCCGATGCTGACAGAGGCCTCCAGGCTCAGGCAGTCCTTGATCTCGTCCGCTGTCACCCCGTCCAGGGCCGCCTCGCAGACCCGCACGGCTGTCACGTCCCGGACCCGCCCTCCCAGCCTCAGCTGGGACAGGTAGTGAGTGCCGTAGGTGTCGATCAGCTGATGGTACTCAAGGCGTGAGCCGTGGGTGTAGTCCTCTGGGAGGTTCATCAAGGCCTGGGTGAATTCGCTGGTGAGTGGAGGATTCTGGGTAACGCGGAACCTGGGGGAAAGAAACATCCACCATGTGACGTGCCATACGATATCAGCGTTTTGTAGGGGGAGAGCTCAGTGTTATCCATCCACAGACTCTAAGACCTGAAGGGGCCTTTCTGGGACATCTACTCTGACCCCCTGGATAACTCCGGCCTGAGAACAGCCCTGAATAAATTCCTGTTTAAACTAGGGCAGATCTTCTACAAAATAACACCCCATCTCAATTTAAAAACTGGCCATGATGGAGAATCGACTACACCCTACTGGTAGATCATTCCAGAGATCAATCCTGTTACGCTTACAAATTCACACCTTTTCCCCATCTACATATGCCTAGCTTCAGCTTTCAGCCTCGGATTCTGTCAGACCTTTGTCTGCTAGATTGAAAGCCCATAGCCCAAAGTTCGCTTCCCATGAAAATTTAGTCTTATACCTTTACTGCCTCACTTTTACCTCTTGCCCTCTTCAAGAAACTCAGTAAGTACATCATTCCATTCCTATCCATTCAAGTCCGTGAGGGAGTCCACACAGCCAGTCTTTTCCTTTTTCTTCTTGGGACCCTCCAAACCAGAATATGAGCTTTCCTGACTTGGCTCCTGCTGCTCATTGTATGGATAGGGGAAAGCGGTAGTTGTGGTATACCTTGACTTTAGTTAGACTTTTGATACTGTCTTACATCACCTCATCAACTAGGTAAATACAACTTAGATGGGGCTACTATAAGGTGGGTGCATAACTGGCTGGAGAACCGATCTCAAAGAGTAGTTATTAATGGTTCACAATCATGCTGGAAGGGCATAACAAGTGGGGTTCCGCAGGGGTCAGTTTTGGGACTGGTTCTGTTCAATATCTTCATTAGTGATTTAGATCACAGCATAAAGAGCACACTTATTAAGTCTGCAGATGCTGCTAAGCTAGGAGGGGTTGCAAGTGCTTTGGAAGAGAGGAATATACTTTAACCTGATCTGGACAAACTGGAGAAATGGTCTGAAGTAAATAGGATGAAATTCAATAAGTACTGGAAATGTAAAGTGCTCCACACAGGAAGGACCAATCCGTGTCACACATACAGACTGGGAAGCGATGGTCTAGGAAGGAGTACGGCAGAAAGGGATCTAGGAGCCAGAGAGGACCACAAGTCAGAAGTGTGAGACTGTTGCAAAAAAAGGAAACATGGCTCTAGAATGATGTAAGACTCAAAAAGTCATTCTTCCGCTCTACTCTGTGTAGATTAGGCAACAAATGGAGTATGGTGACCAGTTGAGGGAGCCGAATTTCAGGAAAGACGTGGACCAATTGTAAAAAATCCGGAAAAGAGCAACACAAATGTCCAATGGTTAGAAAACATGATGTAGGCAGGAAGATTGAAAAATGTGGGCATGTTTAGTCTGGAAAAGAGAAGACATGACAGTGGTTTTCAAGTATCTAAAACGGTGTTAGAAGGAGGGGGGAGAAGAATTGTTCTCTTTGGCCTCTGAGGACAGGACAAGAAGCAATGGGCTTAAACTGCAGCAAGGGAGGTTTAGGTTGGACTTGAGGAAAAAATTCTTAACTGTCAGGGTGGTTAAACACTGGAATAAATTGCCCAGGGGGGTTGTGGAATCTCCATCCCTGGAGACATTTAAGAGCAGGTTGGACAGACACCTGTCAGGGATGGTCTAGACAGTGCTGGGTCCTGCCATGAGGGCAGGGGACTGGACTTGATGACCCTCGAGGTCCCTTCCAGTCCTACAGTTCTAGGATGATAGGACCATCACACTGATGTCTCCCATAGGTGGCTTTTGCTTCACTGCGGGATGGCTCCCCCCAAGCCCTCTTCTTACAAGACTTATCACCTTAGAGGAGAGATTCCAGATGGCTCAACTAACATTACAGACATCAACCCTCAGACTAGATACTGTCACTGGCCATAAAACAGCCCCTGCAGCGTGTAACATTGAGAACATGAGGACGGCAGTCCTGGATGAGACCAACGGTCTGTCTAGCCCAGAACATTTACAACACTGAGGGGAATGCAACATTGGAAACTCTAACCATCACCCCCATCCCCAGCCTTCACCAGCACCCAACCCCTGGCCTTGCCCCTCACCTCCAGCCTTCACCGGTACCCAACCCCCGGCCTTCCCCCTCCCCTCCAGTCTTCACCGGCACCCAACCCCCGGCCTTGCCCCTCACCTCCAGCCTTCACCGGTACCCAACCCCCGGCCTTCCCCCTCCCCTCCAGTCTTCACCGGCACCCAACCCCCGGCCTTGCCCCTCACCTCCAGCCTTCACCGGTACCCAACCCCCGGCCTTCCCCCTCCCCTCCAGTCTTCACCGGCACCCAACCCCCGGCCTTGCCCCTCACCTCCAGCCTTCACCGGTACCCAACCCCCGGCCTTCCCCCTCCCCTCCAGTCTTCACCGGCACCCAACCCCCGGCCTTGCCCCTCACCTCCAGCCTTCACCGGTACCCAACCCCCGGCCTTCCCCCTCCCCTCCAGTCTTCACCGGCACCCAACCCCCGGCCTTGCCCCTCACCTCCAGCCTTCACCGGTACCCAACCCCCGGCCTTCCCCCTCCCCTCCAGTCTTCACCGGCACCCAACCCCCGGCCTTGCCCCTCACCTCCAGCCTTCACCGGTACCCAACCCCCGGCCTTCCCCCTCCCCTCCAGTCTTCACCGGCACCCAACCCCCGGCCTTGCCCCTCACCTCCAGCCTTCACCGGTACCCAACCCCCGGCCTTCCCCCTCCCCTCCAGTCTTCACCGGCACCCAACCCCCGGCCTTGCCCCTCACCTCCAGCCTTCACCGGTACCCAACCCCCGGCCTTCCCCCTCCCCTCCAGTCTTCACCGGCACCCAACCCCCGGCCTTGCCCCTCACCTCCAGCCTTCACCGGTACCCAACCCCCGGCCTTCCCCCTCCCCTCCAGTCTTCACCGGCACCCAACCCCCGGCCTTGCCCCTCACCTCCAGCCTTCACCGGTACCCAACCCCCGGCCTTCCCCCTCCCCTCCAGTCTTCACCGGCACCCAACCCCCAGCCTCCTTCTTACTCCCAGCCTTCACCGGCACCTACCCCCCGACCTCCCTCTCACCCCCAGCCTTCTCTGGCACCCAACCCCTGGCCTTCCCCCTCACCTCCAGTCTTCACCGGCACCCAACCCCCGGCCTTCCTCTTCACCCTTAGCCTTCACCGGCACTCAACCCCTAGCCTCTAATCTCCACCCATCTTTAACCTCTGCCCCGGCCCTTACTGGTAGTACTTGCAGGACACCTCGTGGCTGGTGAAACTGTACTTGTCCTGCTGGGACTTGTCTGTGCTGAACTCGGCCAGCTTGGAGTGCGACCCGGCCAGCTCCACCTGCGCGTGGGTGCTGGGCTTCATCTTCACCTCCAGCCCCATCTTCCAGTCGTTCTTCACCCTGGCGCTTGCCGCACGGACCACCCCCAGAGCCGACTCCTTCACGGCACTGGAGAGCTTCCTGCGGCAGGAGACCTTCCCCCTCCAGTCCACTGCCGCCAGCGGCAGGCGCTGTGGCTTCCTGTCCAGCAGGGAGTTCTGGCACAGCGTGCAGGTCCCATCCTTGCGCCTCCAGGGACTGGTGTCCACCAAATAGGCCCCTTTTCTTTCCAGCGTGGTCACGTCAATGCCCTCCCCTGCCAGGTTGTGCCCGGGCACAAAGGCCGTGTGCTTCTTGCACTCCTCGGCGGTGGCTGTGTGGCAATGAGTGGCGACCCCAGGGAGGAGGAGGAGGAGGAGAGGGAAGACGGAACAGGGTTTGGGCATGACCAGGAGGGATGTCAGTTTCTGGACCACCCTGGAGATGGAATCACAGAGAGAGCCCGCATTAAGAACAAGCCTGTGGGAAGAAGTTCCACAGATTAACATGCTGTTAATGTTACATGCAGCCTGGGCGCCTCTAAACGGGGCCCAAACACCAGTGCAATGGGGAGTCCATACTGAATGTGTTTGTGTTGTTGTGCATGGTGGGTAGCTCACATCCTTGGGCCCAGCTAACTTGGTATCCTGCTCCCTCCCTGCCAACCCAGATCAGACCCATGGGCCCATCCAGCTCGGCATCCTGCCCTCACCCCACAACCCCAGATCACACCGGGGAGGGCTCCTCTAGGCAGGAATCCTGCCCCTCTGAGCTGCCCCACATCAGATGCACAGACCCAGCTTTCTGGCCCTCCACATACTCTGTGCCAGGGACAGGACGTTGAAGGTGTGAAAACCTCTCAGGCACAGGATGTCTCAGAACACGAACAGAAACACAGAGAGATGCTGCCGTGGGGCGGAGGTGGGATGTCACTTAGGGGGGGTGTGTTTCCATTTGTCACACACGGGCACGGGCTCTGACTCATGGAAAGGAAAGAGCGAGAAATGACAGAGCAATCGCAACACACAGCCCCCTGCTAGCCAGACCTGGACTCCCCACAACCAGCTACGCCAGTTCCCCTAAACCCCAGCCCTCAGCCCCCTCCTGATGCAGAACTGCCCCCCTCCCGCCCCAGCTCTGCTGGCGCCCACCAATTATGGAGTGATAAACAGAGTCAGATACGATGTTTTAGAGAGAGAGAGAGAGAGAGAGAGAGAGAGAGAACACAGCCCCCTGCTAGCCAGACCTGGACTCCCCACAACCAGCTACGCCAGTTCCCCTAAACCCCAGCCCTCAGCCCCCTCCTGATGCAGAACTGCCCCCCTCCCGCCCCAGCTCTGCTGGCGCCCACCAATTATGGAGTGATAAACAGAGTCAGATACGATGTTTTAGAGAGAGAGAGAGAGAGAGAGAGAGAGAGAGAGAATGTGTGAGTGTGTGGGGATAGATAGATAGATAGATAGATAGATAGAGGGGGTGCGTGGGGATGGATAGAT